AGCCAGTCTTGTATTATTACTGTGTGTCAGGAATTGCACTGAGTTCTTTACATGCATTTATTTAAATCAAAGAAAATCTCAAAATGAACTAATACTCTTCACTTTATAAATAAATATCATGTACTTGTTAAGGAAGGAAAAAATACATTTGTCTCCCTCCCCCATATATACACTCACTAGTATTAAGAGGCAAAATTTTGGTGATACTTTATTCCAGATGCTAAAATTCATTTTTAAGTTCCCAGAATTGTTCGTGTGAAATATTTTCTTTGTATAGCAGATACAACTTAAAACTAAGCATATTGGTACTTGAAAACCATTGATGGTGATCCTCAAGGTAGAGAGTGGTGCCTTAACTAAATATTTGAGCTCGTTTGCTGGATGTTATTTTTTAGGTTACTTTAAAACTGTACATAATATTTAGTCTTGGCCTTTGCTGTGAAAGATGCCTAGTCATATAACATACAGTTCTTCTCTTGGGAAATGTTCTAACTTTGTTAAATTACCTAGACTATGTCAGTAGAGCAGTGGAGATAGCCAAAAGTGGGATTATATCTTGTACAGAATAGAGATTACCTTTTAAAAGATAGAAAATTCCTGGCAGTTCTGTCATTGTTAGTTAGAAATACAATGCATTGCATTTTTCCAGAATAATTGGGCAAATTTTCACATGTAATACTGGTCATGGGGAAAAAGGGAACTGAAAAGAAAGTAACTGGAAAGCAATGCATGGTACTCAGGATGGACACATCTGTAAGGGAGGAAACTACATTTTCTAAGTCTGGGAGTAGGTCTTTTCTGAGGGGATAGGGTAGGCTGACCATGTAGCCGATATGCTCTAAGTATCTAATGTGAATGCTTGTGATAGTGAATGCCTTTAGGTTAGGGACCCTGAAAAGAATCCCAGGAAGAACTAAGAAACTATCATTTACTACTTTGCTACCACATGCTAGGCAGTGTGTTGGGTGTTTTTTATAAACATCCTTTCATATCCCTTCATGAAAACAGATACAAAGAGTTTGTCTTTGTGTCAGTAGTTGGGCTTCTCTCAATTATTTGCACTGTTCATTTCATAGACTGTTATATTTCCCTTGTAATAATTTTGACCATTTATTGAGCTCTTACCATGTTTAAATTCTGTGCTTATCATTTATGCATATTATCTCTGTAACCTCACTGCAAATTCAGAGAGGTTACATATAGTAATAGAACCAGAATTCAAACTCAGGTATAGCTCTTTTTTACATGATCTAGCTATTTCTTGCTGAGATATTTATTTTTGCTATCATTCTCTTCTGTTTGGTTCTGAATGCCTGACTTGCATCCTAAGCTTTTCTCTCTTTAGCAACTCATGTCTAAAGAGAGGTCGAAGAAGGACCCAAGACCAAAGCAACTTGCAACAAATATGTACATTTATAGAAATGCTGGCAGTTAATTTAAACTTGAACCAGTTCTTAAAAATAGAACCTATCACTTTGTACATTGGTTAGTGGTTTTCTTAATCTTTTCTTGTGATATTAGGCATTAGCCACATTAAAACATGTATGATACTCTCTTCTATGATTATTAGTACTCATTCATTTAACAAATATGTGTTGAGCATATACTATATGCTTGGACATCACCGAAGAAGCCAGACATAGTCCTACCTTCATTGAGTTTCTAATTAGCATAATATTTGATGAGGTGGGCTTTGTCTTATATATACTGTTTTTTTCTAAATACACCACAAGCTGCACTTATGTATGCTGTAAGAATAATGCAAAATTAAATGGCTTAGAATTTGTCTCATTCCAAGAAAACACTTAACAAATCCAGAATATGCAGAAATATGAGTCAAGATGCCTGTAACTATGGCTTTGTCACTTTGAATGCCATAATTCTTAGAGGAGCAAGAGGATGACAGTACATAAGACTTTATTTGAAATTTAAAAAAAACCCAACAAAACAACAACTAGAGTGAGCCAGAGATCTTTGATAGAGCATTGTCAGAAGAATTTCAGAAACTGCAAGTTGTTAGACAGATGTATTGATTTAATCAGTCTAGATAACACCATTTATTTATGCTTAAGCATCTCACACATGTAAAAGTTGGCAATTCGAAGTCACACAATATTTGTGAGTTATCTTCTATACCTTGAGTTGTAGTTTCTGTATACCAGCTTTGATGAATGTGTGTATCAGATGCTTAAGCATAAATAAATGATATTATATAGACCAAGTAAGCAGTTTGCTTCTGGAATTCTGTTGACATAGTTTCATGTAAAATCTTCTGGTATTGGCTTTTAAGTGACATGCGTTGGGTGTTCTGGCTAGTGAGTGGGGAGGAGTTGAGTTATCCTCTTAGCAAAATGATTGGCTTATTTTGTGCTAAGTAAGAAGCTGTATTCTCTTGGAGGAGGAAAACCAGTTAGAAACCTTTGCTGTTTCTCTCTCTCTCTCTCTCTCTCTCTCTCTCTCTCTCTTCCCCTCCCCCTCTCCTTCCCTCTCCCTCCCTCCTAATTTTAACTGTAAGAACACCAAGATATTTATGTCTATCAGATTTTGCAGTACTGTTTTCACACTTTTTAAAAATGCTATTTCTTTTTATTTTTAGCTAATTTAAATAGGATTGTAAAGTGATAAGTTATCAAAAGGGGAGACTGGAATGTGGCTAATATACTAGAAATTTAGGTAATATCTTTTCCTTTAGAGTTTGAGATGCTTATCTGTATTGTTTTTTTCTCACCAGACTCCTTTAGAAGATGGAAAGGGGAAGTATTAATTAACTCAGTGGATTTTTGTTTTGTTTTGTTTTTTAAGACATAAGAAAGCAGAGGCTCATAGGGGTCAAGCATCTTGCCTAAGGCCAGACTTACTGAGAAGATAGTTCCAGGATCAGCAGAGAATTTCAGAGCTTGGTAGAATACAGCATAACACTCATGGGTGTGATAGGGAGGTAATTACTTTCTTAGAAGTCTTGACTACTGCTGGTCAAGTCTTATTCCTCTGAGGCTATTCGCCATCTTGTTCTATAGGCAGAAACTTATTTGGAGGTTAAGGCTCCTCTGTAATATTGGAGACATGTTACAAACTCTTCCTACTTAGGACAACTGGCTTAATAGAATTCCAAGTAAATGTATACTACTTTTATGTGTTCTTCTAACATGAGTTTCTTCAGGCTGCCAAGTGCCCATGTTAATCAGTGTTCAAAGAATGTGAAATGTCACTTTTAGGACCATTAGCTGTTATTACTTCATGTTCCATAATAAGGTGTCTCATTTAATTGAATATATGCATAAGTGTATGGATGGGCACATAACCACGGGCAAGGCCTGCTCACTACTCAGTGAAGCAAAATGCAAGAGCAGACAAAAAGGAAGCTATATAAAATGAGAGTCCTACCACTGATGCCTGGAGGCAAAGCAGACTGAATTTAACATGGTAAGTGACCCAGCTGGTATAGAAAAAATAATTAAGTAGCCTTTGTGTTGCCCGTTCACTTTTGGAAACTGGTGAGTGTTGTGTCAAAAAGGCATAAATAAATGCTTTCAGCCTTTTCTTACTCTTAAATTTGTTATCTTTGGTAGAAGATGCATAAGCAACAGTTCATGAAGGAAAAAAAATTCATTAATAAGAAAAAGAAAAAATGTCTACCCATTTGGACATAAAACCAAGGCAGACTTAGTCAGGGTTGTCTATAGTAATTTATATTTTTAGAATTGCAGGTAATACAAAGAAAGGATACTTGTCAATCCAAGTTATAACTACTTTTTGTTTCATTGATGAAAAGTAGTTTTTAGCTATCATAGGGGAACCTTGTAATATTAGAGAAATATGTTAGCATTTTACTCAAAGTATTTGTGGACATCTGTTACCTTTCCAGAGTTTAAAAGTCTAGGGATTTAGCAGGGTGACAGTGGCTCATCCCTGTAGTCTCAGCTACTTGGGAGGCTGAGATTGGGAGGATCAAGGCTTGAGGATAGCCCAGGCAAATAGTTCTTGAGACCCCCATCTCCAAAATAGCCAGAGCAAAATGGACTAAGGGTGTGGCTCAAATGGTAGAGTGCCTGCTTTGCAACCACAAAGCCCTGAGTTCAAACCCCAGTCTCACTCACTCCCCCCCAAAAAATCTAGTGATTAGATTTAAATATTTGAGTTGTAGAACATAGTTAATCATTTGACTTTTTGATCCAGATGCTCACTCAGACTGAGCTTGTTTTTGTTGTTGGTTTGTTTTGTTTTGTTTTTTGAAATGAACCTCACTGTTTTGCCCAGGCTGGCTCTGTACTCCTGGGCTCATGAACTTACCAAGTTATAGTTTGGTTGGAGCTACTACTTTCTTTGGTGTGCACCCTAACACTCAGAATTGTGTTTGTTGCTTTTAATAGTTAGGAATGACATAAAAGCACCCAGACTTTGCCTTTGAAGTGCTTTTGTATCAAGTTCTTGTCCATAAGGTTAAGAAGGAAGCAGCTAGGGGGTGGGGGCAGGGGGGAGAAATAAACCAAGCCTTGTATGCACATATGAATAATAAAAGAAAAATGAAGAAAAAAAAAAAAAAAAAGAAGGAAGCAGCTTTTTCCTGTACATAACGTGCTACAAATGCTCAGAGAAAACAAACTGGGCCAGATACCGGTGGCTCACACCTATAATCCTAGCCATTCAGAAGGCAGAGATCAGAAGGATCACGGTTCAAAGCCAGGCTGGGCAAATAGTTCACGAGACCCTCTCTTGAAAATACCCAACACAGAAACGGCTGGTGCATTGGCTTAAGTGCCTGCCTAGGAAGTGTGAAGCCCTGAGTTCAAACCCCAGTACTGCCAAAAAAAACCAAAAAACACATTGGCTTCCCTCTGATCACATTACAGGTCCTCTAAATTTCTGTACTGTTTTTTCTTCCATTGTGATTTACTCAGTATCTGCTAATATTTTTTTACTCATCAAGATTACTCCCATTTGCTGTAGAAAGAGATGGTGTTCTGCTCTATTGATGACTTTGCTTTATCTTTCCTTTGCAGACGCCATATCATGTGAACCTCCTCTTAGCTGGCTATGATGAGCATGAGGGTCCAGCACTCTACTACATGGACTACCTGGCAGCCTTGGCCAAGGCCCCTTTTGCAGCACATGGCTACGGTGCCTTCCTGACTCTCAGTATCTTGGACCGATACTACACACCAAGTAAGTACCTCTAGGGAGGGATCAGCAGCAGAGCCCTGCCTTAGCTGCTTCCCAGTCTTGTCCACCCTTGAAATTGTGTGGCTGGGTCTTAGATGAAGGATGGATCCTCTCTGGAACTGCTCTCTTGTAGGTCAGTAGGGTCTTTAAAAAGTTCATTGATAAAAGTCCCTCTTTTGCCAGCCAAAATGAGATACTGTCTGTCTCTGAAGCTGGGTTTTGTTTTGTTGTAAAGGGGGGTTAGGTAGATGTCATTGTGAGTAAAGCATTTTTATTAGGTTTTGTAATATTCAACTTATCAGAGTTTTCTTTTACTCATTGTGCTCTGCCTAGATGGCATCTCAGCTATAGAGAATGAGCAAGTATAGAGAGTGAGCAGGTAAACCAAGTGGTTTGTGTATATGATTTGAACTTAAGAGGATGAATAGGTTCCTAGCATGACAACTGAGGGCTTCTTTGTTTAAACATCAGAGCTTTTTAAGGCCACAAACTTGGGTCCTGGCCTTGGACCTTATTCCCTAAGGGCTACTTCCAACTGCAAGAAAAAGCTGTCTCTTGGCTTGTTCATGTACTGTCAGCTTGGCAAAAACTTCAGACCAGGATGCTTTTTATTAAGTTCTATCTTTTGACCCTGATCTCAACCTTGGCTTTAGCCACTGTGGGCAATTGGCTCTTGGAATTCTTAGCTTTTACAGGCTATAGATACAGTACAGATAACCACTTCTCTCCTTACATTCCATTCTTCCTTGTCAGTATTGTAAGAACCTGACATGGTCATTCCTTTTTGATGCTGCCCTCTTGCTCAACCTCAGCCATGCTAGAGCTCCAGGCCACATCCTGAAAAGAATTAGCCTGGCCTCCTGGTGACACTCTCTTGATTTGGCATCTGTCAGCAATACAGCTGATTTGCTCACCAAAATAACCACCAACCACCCCTGAAGCCTAAATGCTTAATGTGTCATCCCAGTTTGCCATGCCCACAGACAATTTCTTTGAATCATGTTTTAGGAGAGTCTCAGTCCCATCTTACAAATTCTCTTCTCATTGTTATACTGAGACCCAGCTGGGAAAGTGAGACTAAGACTCTGACTCTGTATTCCCTTTCCCTGATTTGCAGCTGGCTAGGGCAGATGGAATTGATTTAAGCCCTGTACTAAAGGGCAGTGGAGGGGGTGGGCCATGAAAAAGAGAGGCAGGCCACTGGACTTTTTCAGATGTAGGTCCTGACCAGGGGTGGCAGAATTCCATCATGCTTACCCTTCTCTGTAGCAAATCAATTTGCAATGGCTTGTGGCTGCTGGAGGACTGGGTCTGGGGCACCCTCCATTGCATATGGAATAAGTTTGTTGCAAGCTAGAAAACTAAGCTTTTTTTTTTTTTTTTTCCATTTCCCATTTGGCACTTGAATTTGAGGAAGTTTGAAACTTAATCAGAAGCTGCCAAGAGGTGGTTTTAATGACAGCACTTTGAGTGCTTGGCCTCTGTTCTCTTTCAGCTATTTCACGTGAGAGGGCAGTGGAGCTTCTTAGGAAATGTCTGGAGGAGGTAAGTAGCTCTCATGGGATCCTGAAAGAAATGTTTTGACTGTTCTCGTTCCTGGTTGCTTTTTTCTGGTCCTTGCCACAAGGTGTAATAAATACCCACTGATCAGATGTGAAGTTGCTACCAGGGATGGAGTTTAGTGTGCATAGTAGCTTGCTTATTTTTCTTTCATGGGTCATCTCATAAATGTCAATTTTACAATTTAATTACTTTTCTTTCTAGTTCACTCAGACCAGTGGTTCTAAAAGTTCAATGTGTGGAAGAGTCATCTAGAGAACTTGTTAAAAAAGCACATTATTCCCTTGCCTCAGCCCCCAGTTCTGATTCCACTGTCCAGAGGTAGAGACTGAGAATCTCTGTTTTAACTGGCAGTCTCAGGTGATTTTCCATGGGTGATAATTGGAGCTATACTGTAAGAGCTATTGTCCTGGACTTTGTACCTACCCTGGTGTTAAACCTCTAGTAAGTACCCTACTGTCTACCCCCTTAGCAAGGGAATGAGCCCTTGTAGTTTGGAGGCAAACTATTCCCTGAGCATTCAGGAGGCTATAGAAAACAACTAGGAAACTTTGGACAGAAGTGGAGAGCAACCTTGTTTTCGAAGCCAAGAACCCAGACCCTACTCATTCCATTACTACTACGAGTCTTAAGATTTGGGGTATGAATGTAGGACGAGGTGGCAGAAAGTAGCCCCTATTATTCTTTTTTGTTCTTTTGCTTTTCTTGTGGCCTAAGGATGAACTTGAATTCATGGTCTAGTGAGAGAATAGGACGATGAGAGCAAGTGGGAGCACTGGCAATAATGTCAGTTTGCCTCTTACACAAGCATGTCTTTTTCAGACCCTAGGTACCCCCTCTCGTTTATAAATCCTCTTTCCAAAAAGCTCATGTGTTTTTCTTATTCATTCAGCTGCAAGGCCATATTAGCTCCAAATATTTCCAGGTTCTGCAAGGAAGAAACCACTGGAATATCAAGTGGAATATCAAGCTCTTGAGACTTTATATACCCAATGGGCCCTAAAGAGGTTTTTTTGTTTGTTTGTTTTTGGGTGGTAACTGGGATTTGTCAGGCTGGCATTCTGCTGCTTGAGTCATACTCTCAGCCCTTTTTGCTTTGGTTATTTTTGAGGTAGGGTCTCACTTTTTTGCCCACCTGGCCTCAAACCATGATCCTCCTGATCTCTGCCTCCTTGTATCTGGGATTAGAGGCATGAGCCACTATGCCCTGCGATAAAGAGAGTCATTTAAAAAAAACTCTTATTTCCTTATTGTCACTTTTTTTTGATCTTGGAGCTTAATTCTGGACATACAACCAGAAAGGGCTGTGGAAATTTAATGGGCTGTTGCTGTCCAGTTCTCAACTGCTAAAAGAGATAGGAAGCATAAAGGGAAGGAGGGCTTAAGCCTGAGAAGATGCCCATTTCCAGGATAGGTTCCTGAGGAAACCAGGTGGAGAGCCTTGTATCTTCTTTCTGGAGGCTCTCAGTGAGGTGTCCAGGAAGGGTAGCCACAGAAGGGAAGATTTCAAAGCTAGGCTTCTCCGTGATCTTCAGCCAGGTTAGGAGGGCTGTCTGCTTCCATGCATGAGGACCCTCCTTTGGAACTGCTTCAGCCTGGACTGGAAGAGACAGAAGGAGGGCTTGTTCCAAGAACTATTACGACTTTCTTCCTCCCTTCCCTCCAGCTATATAGAAACACATTCACACTACTGCTCCTTCTAATATGGATAGATGGCTGGAGCAAAGTGTTGGGACATAGAAATGTACTGCTGTGGTCCAGAGCTTGTTCTTTGATCACTCCTTGTTAACTTATTGCCTGGAGACAAAACAAGAGGAAAATCTTACCAGACTGATGGTAGCAGACTGTGGAGATAAAATTGGATTGTCTCTTTTTTTGTTTTTCATTAGCCAACTGACTAAAGACAGGTTCCCAGCTACATCTCCCTACCTTCCATTTAGCCTCCAGCCATGGTTTGGACATTCCTCAGTGCCCTAGTACCAGCTGCTCCCAGTAGAATATCGGTTCCACAAAAGCAAACATTTTTTGGAGGGTGGTGGTAAGGGGAGGGACTCGGGTTTGAACTCAGGCTTCGTGCTTGCAAAGCAGGCACTCTCACTTGAGTCAAACTTCCAGTCCATTTTGCTCAGGTTATTTTGGAGATGGGGGGTCTCCCAAACTGTTCGCCTGGGCTGGCCTCAAATTGTGATCCTCCCGATCTCAGTCTCCCTAGTAGTTAGTATTATAGGTGTGAGCCACCTGTGCCCAGCAAGGATTTTTATCTGCTATATCCATTGTGCGTAGAATAGAGTTTAGTGTCCAGTAAATGTGTTTTTGACTGATTTCCTTCATGTCTCTGCAGCTCCAGAAGCGCTTCATCTTGAACCTGCCAAACTTCAGTGTTCGAATCATTGACAAAAATGGCATCCATGACCTGGATAATATTTCCTTCCCTAAGCAGGGCTCCTAACGTCATGTCCTTTCTTACACTTGCCAGAGAACTTTTTTTGATGAGCTCCTTTAATTTTTTTCTACACATTCGGTGTACGCTCTTGATAGATGGTTAATTCAGAATAAAGCTGAATATGGATAGACTGGGCTTTCTGGTTTGGTTCTGTTTACCCAATATCACCTCAGAAAGTAACTGGAAGGAAGATTATCTTTTTGCCAGAACTCTCTCCTGCCCCTTTCCCTTAGTTAGTGCTCTAAGCAGCCCTGCATTCTATTTCACTGTCTGACTTTGTTCTCATCTAGCTCTTTCATATGTCTTGCTTGTTAATGATTCATTCCCTATAAAGCACTGGTTCTTTTTACCATTCAGCTTAAATTTTTAAAATTAATTTGAATAGATATTGCATGCACTTAGTAAGATATGCAAACAGTACAAAATCACATAGTAAAAAATGTTTCCTCCCATTCTTATAATCTGATCACCTCCTTTCCTTCCCAGAGGAAATTTCAGCTACTGATTTCTTACCTGTTTCTTAAGAGATATTTTGTTCCTGTATGAAGTATGCATAAACACAGGACTGGGATATACCTCAGTTGTAGAGTGCTTGACTAGCTTGTGCAAGGTTCTGGGCTTGATGGCCAGCACTGGGAAAAAAAATAAAAATTATGTGTATGCATACACACGTACAGACACACATCCCCTTTAAAAATATTTTTAAATGTTCTACATACTGCTTTTTGTTTTTTTGCAGTACTAGGGAATGAACCCAGGGCCTCCTCTTGCTAGGCAAGAGCTCTATTACTTGAGCCACACTCTTAGCCCATATTGCTTATTTCATTTAACACTGTTAGAGATTAATTTATGTTAATACATGTAGGTTCTGCCTTATTGTTGACAGTTACATAATATTCCCTTAAATTAATGTATCATGAATTTTTACCATATAGCTATTTTACCCCTAATCTAGTGTTTTTTCTTGGGGCTACTAAAATAGTAGTTTGATCCCTCCCTCCCTCCTTTCCTTCTTCCTTGTTTCCTTCCTTCTTCCTTTCAGGCATGCCAGGTAAGCACCCTACTACTGAGCACTTTAAGATCTAAACATTGAGAGAGAGAGAGAGAGAGAGAGGGAGGTGGGGATGGGGGGGAGAGAGAGATCGCTCTTTATTGTGGGGAGAATGGGGACATAGGGTTTGTATTTGGCAAAGCAGGCACTCCTGAGCAATGTCTCCAGTCCATTTTGCTTTGGTTATTTTGGAGTTGGGGTGAGGTCTCTTAATCTCATCCCAAGTAGCTAGGATTATAGGTATGAGCTACTGGTGCCTGGCTGGCTAAACAGTGGTTTTTAAGCAGATGTTTGTATCATAATCACCTGGGGAATTTTCCTTTTCTGTGTACTTGATTAGGTTGCACCCCTAGATTCTAAGTTGCTTTGGGCGTTAGACATGGGAGTGTTTGAAAAAGCTTCCCAAATAATTCTTCCATCATGACAGAGAACTGTTGGAATTTTGCAAGTCTGGGAACCACATTTTGAACACATTTGGTCTTAGGTTAAGATAAATCCTACTTAATTCAATTCCATACTACTATTTTTTTTTTTTTTTTTGGAGACAGGTTCTTGCTATGTAGCCCAAGCTGACTTTGTACCAACTTCCTGCCTCAACCTCTGCTGTGATCACAGATATGCACTAACACACCTAGCATCTGTACTACTCTTAATCTAACATATAGATAACATTCATATTAACAGTATTGAGTTAATGTCATGTTTGAGTGTCTTAAACACTTTTTAGTACACCAATGGTAAATGTTTTATATCATAAGAAAGCCAGTCATGTGAGTTAATGAGTTACATCACCACAGCTGATTCACTGTGAGTGTGTATAAATTTGACTCTTGTCTGGGTTCCTGAGTCCTTTTCTAAAGAATATGGGTGCTTCTGATACTCTCCCCTTTAGGGCCACTACTGAAGCATAGGTAGTCCTTCTTTGACATTTCCCATCTGTGAAACAGTTGGGGAGGACCTGGTCCATGGTGGTGGTCATGAGAATTCCATGAGGTAATATATGCTAACATGTAGTATGGGGCCTGGCATGGGAAGTGCTCAGTAAGTATTTATCATTGCTAAGCCTTGTTCTGCATTTAGACCTCTGGAGGAATGAAAGGTTCTCTGCCCCTGAATGTAACTGTCCCCAGTGCAGTCACAGGCAAGTCTGCAAACTTACTCTCTGTCTCCTTTCTCCACCCCAGATCTTTTCGTCAGGTTCAAATCAACTTATTTCTAGATATCTCAACCTCTAGCTTTAGGAACATCAAACTCAACATGCCTGAAACTGATTCTTCCATCTACCCACCTCCTCCGTCCTCTACAACAGTTCATCTTAGAAAAATTAGCCACCTGAGCTCCCAGATGCCCAAGCTGAAACCTAAACATCATTTATTTTAAATAAACCTTATTTTGGAATAACTAGTTTTACAGAAAAATTGCAAAAATAATACAATTTCCCGTTGTTATAGGTTAATGTTAGCATTTTAACTAAACATTAGCCTTTATTTAGATTTTATTTTCTCTGTAACATCTTTTTTCTTTTACTCTAGAAGGCAATATATGATACCACATTGCATTTCAGCTGGGCCTAATTTTTTAAATTTTTAAAAATTAGCATACATTAATTGTACAGAGGAGTTTTGTTGTGATATTTCATAGAAGTATGAAATGTACTTTGATCAAACTTACCCCCTTTATATGCTCCCTTAACCTCCCTCCTTTATCCTCCTCCTTTTTCAAACAATATTTACTGGGTTAGTATAGCTAACCTATAGCTATCTATCTAGCTAACTATACTTTGGTTATGCTAAAAAAAAAAACCCTATACCTTCTCCTTTCACTTTCCCTTTTTCCTCTGATTCCCCCCTTAGTTCCCCCTTTATGTGCATGTTCCATTGTTATTGTTATTATTACCATTTTAGGTCTATATTCTGCATATAAGCAAAAACATACAGTATTTGGCTTTTTAAGCTTGGCTTATCTCACTCAACATGATGATCTCTAGTATCATCCAGCTGAATAATACCCATTGTTTGGCACCTAGGCTGATTCCATGGCTTGGCTATTGTGGATAGTGCTGTGATAAACTTGGGTGTGCAAGTGTCTCTATTGTATGAAGACTCATATTCTTCTGGAATTCTATTTTTAGTCTTTTGATGAACCTCCATATGTATTTGCATAGTGGTTGCACTAGTTCACATTCCCACCAACAGTGTATAAGGGTTCCTTTTTCCCTGCATCCTAACCAGCTTTTATTGTTTTTTTGATGATAGCCATTGTGACTGGTGTAGGATGGAATTTCAGTGTTTTGATTTCTATGTTCTTATGGCTCGAGATGTTGTTCTTCGTGTATTTATTATTTATTAGCCATTTGCGCTTCTGAGAACTGTTTGTTCAATCCATTCGCCCATTAATTTATTAATTGGTTATTCTTTTGGTTCTTAGTTTTTTGAGCTTTGTATATTCTGGATATTAATCCTTTGTTCAATGAATAGCTTGAAAGATTTTCTTCCATTTTGTGGTTTGTTTCTTCATTCTGATAATTTCCTTTTATGTACAGAAGCTTTTTAATTTGGCATAATTCTATTTTCAATTCTTGCTCTTATATCTTGGGCAATTGGAGTCTTGTTCAGAACATAATTGCATACCTGAGTACCACTCAAGTTTCAGGTCTTACATTAAGATATTTGATCCATTTTGAATTGATTTTTTTTGTACAAGGTGAGAGATAGGGATCTAGTTTCAGTCATCTACATGGTGAATATCCAGTTTTCCCAACACCATTTGTTGGAGAGGCTATCTTCTCCATGTATATTTTTGGCTCCTTTGTCAAAAATTAGGTGGCTATAGATATTTGGGTTTTTGTTGGGGGGGGGGGTCTTCTATTTTATTGATGTACATGTCTGTTTTTCTGCCAGTACTATGTTGTTTTGTTACTATGGCTCTGTAGTATAATTTGAAGTCCAGTATTGTGATGACTGCAGCATTGCTCTTTTTGCTTAGGATTGCTTTTGCTGTTCATTGTCTTTTATGCTTCCATGTGAATTTTAGGATTTATTTTTCTTTTCCTGTGAAGAATGATATTGGGATTTTGATGGGAATTGCACTAATATATAGATGACTTTTGGTAATATAACCATTTTCATGATATATTAATTCTGTTTATCCATGCACAAGGAAGGTCTTTCTATCTTCTAGTCATCTTGAATTCTCTTCAAGGTTATATACTTTTTGTTGTAGAGGTCTTTCACCTCCTTAGTTATTTTATTCCTAAGTCTTTTATTATTTTTCAAGATTATTGAAAATGGGATTGTTTTCTTCATTTCTTTCGTCCTGTTCATTGTTGGTATATAGAACACTAAGAATGAAATGCTTCTTTAACACTCCTGGCCAAATATTGCCTAGCATGGTCTTCTGATTGGTTTCCATCTACTTGCAGGTGATTAATATACAGAAAACAGCCAAGTGCTGGTGGCTTACACTTGTAATCCTAGCTACTCATGAGGATGGAGGTTCAAAGCCAGCCTGGGCAAATAGTTTGTGAGATCCTATCTCGAAAAACCTTTCACAAAAATAGGGCTGGTGGAGTGGCTTAAGGTGAAGGCCCTCAGTTGAAGCTTCAGTACCGAAAAAAAAAAAAAATTTATTCTTTCCCAGGATTGGTGTAGGTGGGGGCAAGTTGGAGAAGAGAGCAGCTGTTTTGCCTCAGGGAGGGAAACTCAGTCTTGACTGCTGAAGAGATGGGAAGGCTGATAAGGAACCTCTGAAAGATAATAGAGGGAGGATAGAAGCTCTTGGTTTTGCCAGCTGAGCAGTGGAGGCTGAGAGTTCATCACTATGTCTTCTCTTGACCCTTTGATGGAAGCAGCATCAGTGAATGAAAGGAAGCACATTCTTGGGATTCTTTCTAGACTTGAACTTAGTTTCTATGTGTGAGTCATGAGCAAGCATGTATTTGGGAAGAGAAAAGCCAAAAAGCCTTCACCTTGCATACCTCCCTCTCTCTCTCATAGTCCTGGAATTGAATTCAGGGCCTCATGCTTGCTAGGCACGCTCTACTTGAGCCACTACTGTGCCAACTCTTTTTTGTGTTGGGTATTTTCAAGATAGGGTCTCAAACTATTTGCTCGGGCTGTCTTGAACTGAGATTCTCCTGATTTCTGCCTCCTGAGTAGCTAAGATTATAGGTGTACCCTGGTACCCAGTGCCCTCACCTCTCTTCATAGGGATTGAGGGAAGGAAGGTTTTCAAATGCTGCCCTTTTCTTACTTCTCCAGGAACACTGATCCTTTCAAAAAACAAAAACAAAAAAATGAGGAAGGTCTTTATTCTTAAAGTGAATATAAATTCAAACTCTCACAATTTGAAAATTGTGATGCTTACCCAGTCTAAATACTCTCCATTTAATTCACAGCTTGCTTTACAAAAGATGAAGCCATATATACTTTGTCTTTAGTCATCAGATCTTTTTTTCTCAGGGCTACTCAGAGGTTAAAACATTATTTTGCTATGGGGGTGGGGGGTAAAGAAACGAATGGGAAAAATCAAATGCCAAGACTTCATTATAAGCTTCTTATGCTACTTAAATACTCTGTACACCATATTGTTTCCTCTACACTGTTAATGATCCTGACCTATGCCAGTATAGCAGAACCTTGCGCATGAGTTGATGGGAAGACCTGCTTCCTTGCTGGGGTCAGACCTGTGAGCCTTTCTGTACAGGTCCATGAGATACAGTGGAAATGATGAGAGGGTTGGATTAAACAAATATGGGAGACCTACTCAATTGTGTGACATCAGAGATATTAGGCAAGTTACTCAGCTACAATTTTCTTATTCCTAAATAGGACTTGGTGAGGATTACTGGTTCTTTCCTTCGGGAAAGTTGTCCAGTACTGAAAAGTTCTTGAGAAGCTAGTTTCTTCCTTACCAATCTTTTCCTGGTTTGTTACTATATACTAGGCATCGTGTAAGTGTTGTATGTCTTTTACTTTATTTAATCCCCTCAACTTCCCATAGCTAAGATAATTTTAGTAGTAGAAGGTCTCTTGCCAGGCCCTAGGCTTTGGTTAAAGCAGAGAACACTTCCCCCTTCCCCCCATTCCTCCTTTCATATGTGTGGATTGAGGCTTTGAAACAGGTCACATCTTTGGACCTTATCCTGTGAGATGATGTCTAAACCCCATGTGCCTTGTACACTTTTTACTTCTGCTTTAGCACCCCAACATCTGCGCCTAATAGCACACCTGCAAAGACATGGGGATGAGAGCAACAGGCAAAGGGAGTAGTGAGTTGCAGAGGTCCTGAGACGTAACATTTTGAGGAACAGGAAGGCAATCAGTAGCTGGAACAAAGTGAATGACGTGCACCAGTGAAAATAGACCAGTTGGGAGGCTGCTCTGGTAGGCCAGAGGACTAGGCTGGTGGCAGTGGAAATCAAAAAAAGAAGATGGACTCTGTATGAGTCCATAGAACTTGTAGAGTTGAGTTTGGGGGGAAAAAAATCAAATATGATTCCCTACTTCTTGGCCTGAACAGCTGAATAGAAGGTGGTGCCATTTACAAAGATGGAACAGTAAGGTGGAGGTCAAGATTGGCATACTTTTTTTTTTTTTTTTGGTACTGGGGTTTGAACTCAGGTCTTTTCACCTTGAGCCACTCCACCAGTCCTATTTTTGTGAAGGGTTTTTTGAGATAGGGTCTCACTAACTATTTGCCCGGGCTGGCTTCGAACCTCGGTCCTCCTGAGTAGATAAGATTACAGGTGTGAGCCACTGGTGCCTGGCTAAGATTGGCTACTTAAGTAGTCAAATAGTCTGATCTATGCATAAGTTTGAGAAGCCTATTAATAACAATAAGGCAGAGACATCAGGCAGACAGTTGTACATCCAAGCCTACAGTTCAGGGACATCTGGGCTGAAGATAGAAATTCAAAGGTCAGCAGCATTCAGATGATATGTAAAGCCATGGGACTGAATGAGTCCATTCTAGAGAGACAGTGAAGAGAAGGCTGACATTTAGAGGTTAGGTAGAGAAGGAGACAGCATAAAAGACAGAATTGAGGCGGGTGACAGTGGTTCACCTCTGTAATCCTAGCTACTTGGGAGGCTAGGCTGGGAAGATACAGTTCAACGCCTGTCCAGGCAAACAGTTTGAGAGAGCCCATCTCCATAATAACCAGAGCAAAATGGTTTTGCTTTCCTGGTGTGGCTAAGCAGTAGAGCACCTGCTTTGCATCTGATTGCCCTGAGTTCAAACTCCAATCCCACTAGAAAAAAATACATATATTGGAGCCATTCAGGGAAAAGGAAACCAGAAGCTGGGATCCATGGTGCTTCAGAAAAGAGTAAGTAGTCAGCCATGTTGAATACTGATTTGACATTGTGGTTATAACCATGCTGAATGGATTTAAATAGATTGGCTAGGACTGATGTGAATTGAAGAAACTTGTGGGGAGGAAATGGAGGTAGGGGTGTAGCAATCTCTCAAAAACTAACTGCAAAGGAAATAGATAGGGAAAGGATTTATGTTTTGTAAGATAAATCTTAAACCCTGTGCCTTGGGGAATTATCTAGGAGACAAGTAGAGAGAGATTGATCTGATAGTACAGGAAAGAAAAGATGTCTGACGAGTAAGACCCTCAAGACAGGAGAACTGAATTAGTATTTGCCTGAACACACACACACACACACACACACACACACACACACACACACACACACAGTCACCAGTATTCACATGCTTACAGCAATGGTAACATCACATAGATCTAAGAGCCAAACTGACACATTCATTCATAGGCCCAACAAGTCAGTAATACCCATATAGTATCTACTTGACACACAAATAGCTACACTAAAAAGCCCCCATCATCTGTATCCGTCTCAGAGGTGCCCACAATTCCTTTTAATGTGCTTTCCCTTATAGGTCTCTTACCCCAACTCCCCTCTTCCCAGTGACCTTGCCCTCTTAGGAGGCAAATCCTGGGCTGAAGAAGGATTGGGAGGGTTTCATATCCAATGAAAAGGTTTTATTGAGAGAATGAGAAAGCAACCCGAGATGGGGAGATACATCAACTACAGGGTCAAAAGAAACAGGAAATATAAAATATTGGCATATTTTCTGTGCAACTGCCATACCTTTCTTCCCTCCCAACCCACCTGTAGCTCTTTGCTCTTTCCTCTCCATCTTGGCCCTAGTGGACATCTTGATACATGAACAGAAAACAGTGAAATGAAACCCCCAAGTAATTAGATAAATAAATTGTGCTGGACATTTTTAAATTTCAAATTTAATTACAACATACATAAATAAATAGACAGACAGCAACAAAACTGTGATGCGCAGCCTGGGTTCAAGTTCTGCAATTTGTGCTTTATCTTTGCTCCTCAAAGGCCTCTTCTGCCTTCTTTTCTCCAAGAGTAGGGAAGGTGCAAAGAGCCCACTGGAACCTCCTGCCAGCACCTCTTTTCTTGGGGTTGGAGATTCTAAATGAGGGTCACCAACTCCTCAGTAGCACCTCTGATTTGTTAAGTGTCCCTTCTGCCATAAGTGAAAAACAGAAAGTCATGGCCTCTAGGAGCACCCACTACTGCCCAGGCACCCCCATGGGAATAGCTCTGCCCTAATAGACTATTCCATCAATTTCCTGTCCAAGCCCTTCCCAACAAAGGTCAGAAAATTGCACATGTGAGACAAATACCTGGACCTTTAACTTACTAGAAAGCCATCTCAGAAAGGCCATCCGCCCTTACTCCAACCCAGATTACCAACTGAGGCTTTCTGGATGAATGTCTTCATTTGTGCCTGACTGGAATCCTACTTTTTAGCTCTTTCAGGGCCTCCCCCAAGAGGTAAGGCCTCATTTCAGGCCTTGGGAGTTCCTTAGCAATGGGAGGAGATGTGGTTATTTCCGATGCTTGGCATCCTTCTCTGAAGCCTTGGTTTCACTGTGCCCAGTGCCTGCACTGCTTAGAAACATCTTGTCCAGCCCCTTGAGTGACTCCAACAGATAGTTCTGGAAAGCAGTGAGGGCAGCACAGATAGCGGGCCCCCCAAAGCCATGGGTGATGAGGCTAAAGTGTGTTAGGCAACTTTGTACCCCAGGCTCCAGGATGAGTGCTGGGCGGCTGTTGCCCAGTGGGGAGCGGTCCTGAGCCATCAAGTCCGCAAACTCCTTGCAGATCTGCCTGGTGGGAAAGGATCAGAGGTTAAAGGACAAGGTTCTGAGACCAGAGAAGGACCTACTACGTGCTAGATTCTTTACATACATTATCTATACAATTCCTTGTTTCTCCCAACTGTTTACAGCTCAGCTATTTACTACCTTATCCAGGAAAACTTTCCTTGATCTTTTCTACCACCATAAACATCCAGTGCTTCATAGAACCTGTCTATGAAATTATTATGAACAGCCCAGAATCTGCCTTGCATAATTGGAATAATAGCAGCAAATATTGAGGCCTAGATGCTTTGCCAAGTACACAGTATGCATCATCTCCTTAATCCTCCCAACAAATCTATATTATCCCCATCAAATGGAAAAGGAAACTGGTTTCAGACAGGTTAGGTGACCTGCCTAAGTGACCAAGCCGGGATTTGAATTTAGCACCAGTCTGCGGCCATTAATCATTCCTTTGTGCATCATGTGTGTGGCTCAGGCAAGATCAGTGTCACACATCTTTGTGTAACCATGAAACCCAGCCAGCATCTTAAGACATGGCTGACACCCTGGAAGTACTCGATGTGATTCATGAATGAGGTGGGCTTCACCCTGGATAGGATTCTTTAGCCATAATATGAGCAGCCTCCCAGGACTCTCCATTTGGTAGTCCTATGAGTCTGGGTCCTCTTCTGCCTTGGGGAATGGAGGAAAACTGCAGAGGAAGGGTGGAATTGTGATATGAAAGACTACATCAGGTGGGGGAACTGGATGAGGTTCTAAGTAGGAGACAGGCAAGCCCATGAAGCTCAGCTGGACTGGGTCAGACTGGGGCCCTCAAAGGAGATTGGACTTTAGCCTTCAGACTGGTGGGTCTCAAAATTCACTCCCTTCCTCTCCCCACTTTTCTTCTTCCCTCCGTCTTTTTTTGCAACAAGACTGCTATAGCCTGAAAATTCGTGTCCCTCTAAAATTGGTTGAAATCCTACTCCTTGAGGATATGAAAGTGGAGCCTTTGGGAGGTGATTAGGTCATGGGGGATACAGTTCTTGCAAATGGGATTAGCGTCCTTATGAAAGGGGCCAGAGAGAGGCTTTTTGCCTCTTCCACCATATGAAGACAGCATCAAAGAGTTTTTTATGTTCTAGAAAGTAGATCTTTACCAGACATTAAAGCTATCTTTTTTTTTTTTGTGGTACTGGGGTTTGAACTCAAGGCTTCACACTTGCTAGGCAGGTGCTCTACCACTTGAGCCACTCTACCAGCCCTTTTTTGTGATGGGTTTTTTCCAGATAGGGTCTCAAGAACTATTTTCCCAGGATTGGCTTTGAACCATGATCCTCCTGATCTCTTGCCTACTTGTACTAGGATTACAGGCATGAGGCACCAGCACCTGGTGATTAAAACTGTCTTGATTAGACTTATAAGCCTCCAGAACTATAGAGGCTGATAACCAGTTTATGGGTATCTCTGAAAAAGTACATGTTAGTGGAATGCTAGTTTGTTAAACAGGCCCTAGGCATCTCCACAGAACCCTAGTTTGAGAACCAACACAGAGGCAGTGGGAGCCATTGACTATTTGGAGACATGTGCTAGTTGGATTTGGGGACCTGTGAGTTGAATGAGGAGTCTTGAGTTCAAATGGCAGCATGTGAATGGTGGTGAGGGAGGAACAGTAGACCTGCAGAGGGGTTAGGCCTGACTTGGAGGTCTGAAGAGGAAGGTCACCAAACAGAAGGGCTAATGGGCAAGGTTTAGCAGGTGGAGCCTCAGACTCATGATGGGAACTGAACTGGCCGTGCCAGGGGATAGTGTAGGTGAATGTAGTACCTACATGTGGGCTGTAGGCCTCTGACATGGTTAATATTGATGCATAGAAACCACATGTGTTGACAAATGGTGTCTGTACCAGTGCTGTGTAGAGTGTTCATGTAGTGTGATAAACATGGTGCCCATGTGTTATGTGTGAATGTCCATGTGAACCTAAACAGGGAACCTAAGTGTGCATGTGTGTGGTGCCATGTGTGTATAACTATTAGCTCATGAGTGGTGTCTACTGTGCCCACTCATGGTGCTGTGTCTAGGCATTGCGTCCATGTTTCTTTACTCACTTGGCAGCCAGCAGCATGCTCTTGCGGCTGTGCAGTTCCCCAGGGTCAGCATGCTGTCGGCACAGGTACTCAGCAGCTGCCTTGGCTGGGAACTCAGTCTCACAGACGTAGCCAAAGTCTCGGGCCAGGTGCATGGCCTCTCCTGGGGGAAGGGGACATGTCACTACTGTCAGGTGTAACTCTAAGCTTGGAGCCCAGCCTTGGACCTCTGACTTCTCTGCCCCATCCTGCTTCTGGAGATGCCCCCCTGCTTTCCTTCCTCAGCCCAGCTCCAGGGCTTGGCTCTGAGCTCAGAATGGGAGTTGGGCCAACCATGTATCCTAGACCCAGAGCCAAGTCACCAACCTCCAGGGAAAAGGTCTGTCATCTCTTTCATCTATTGACCACATACAAATACTGGCCATTCTCTCCCTACACATGCACACACTGTAAGTAGCTCTCTGCTGCACGTGCACACACATACATGGACATATACACACAGACTATACAGTTGTTCCTCAGTATCCTCCAGAAATTGGTTCCAGGATCCCCCTTCAAAATACCAAAATTTGTGGATAATCAAGTCTCATACTCTAAAATGGCAGAGTATTTACATAACCAATCCGCCTCTGTATTTTTTTTTTTTTTTTGGTAGTACTGGGATTCAAACTTAAGGCTTTTCAGTTGCTAGGCCAGTGCTCTACCACTTGAGCCATGCCTCCAGTCCATCATGTTTTGTTGTTATTGTTGTTGGTTTGTTTCTGTGTTTTTGTTTTTGCGAGTACTGGGAGAGGATGACCTCCAGGCTTCACTCTTGGTAGGCAGGCTTGTTACTGTTTGAGCTACTCTGCCAGCCCCAGTGTACTTTAAATCATCTCTGGATTACTTATAATATGCAGTATGATGTAAATGCTGTGTAAATAGTTGTATCGTATTGCTTAGGGAATAATGACAAGAAAAAAGTCTGTAGACCAAATATCAGTGGTTCACGCCTGTAATCCTAGCTACTCGGCAGGTAGAGATCAGGAGGATTGTGGTTCAAAGCCAGCCCAGGCAAGTAGTTCTTGAGACCCTCTCTTGAAAATACCCAACACAAAAACAGGGCTGGTGAGTGGCTCAAGTGGTAGAAAACCTGCATAGTGAGCCTGAGGCCCTGAGTTCAAACCCTAGAATTGGTAAAAAAAACCCAAAAAAACAAAAAAAGTCTGTGTATTCAGTACAGATGTAATTTTTTCCCATGGTTGGTTAAATCCTTAGATGGGAACCCAACTGTACACATGTATCACACACATACCTTCTTTATACATGATGCACTAAGTACACACAAGATACTACAGTGCTTACATGAACACACGTATGGCTAAATAACCTCCTGCTTTAGAGATAGTCATGCAGATGACACACATCCCTCACACTCATGTTCATGCCCACCTTTAGGCCTCACTCACCTTCCACTAGTGAAGTCAGCAGTGTCACATTGGCTGCCTTCCGACGGCCAGCTGGCAGATTGAGCCCAATCTTCTCTAACCGTTCCCGCAGACACCGGCCCCCATTCTTGGACTTGGCCCTTGACATGCACAGAGAGAGACATATATACAAGTATGAAGACATGAAAAAGCTTGTACAATAAGTGACCCCAAAGGGCCTTGTTGCCCACACCAAACCTACTGAGGCTGAGTCTGACTTTGGAAATTTTCTGGTGTCTCTTTTAGCTTGATCCCACCCTCTTTCTAACTTCACTCGTTTTTCAGTCAAGACTGGACGGGGGTAGCACCCAGCTCCAGTAGTCCTTATTCCTCCCAGGCCTCTCAGCAGCAGGGCAGTCCAGGATGGGGGCAGGAGAGAGTAGCATCTTAGGCTCTTTCTTCCCCACCTTAGCACCTTTGCTGGGGATACATAGGTGTGTACACAGAGACACTCAGACAGGAAGACACAGGCAGACAGGGTACACACAGTCATCTAGGGACTCATAGACCCAAACATGCACAGATGAATACCCACTGAAGGCCAAGAATATGGGTACACACACACACACACACACACACATATACACATACCAATAGAGACACATATAGAGACAGACTTAGACATCAAGGAATACCCAGGGACACAGAGACAAATGTTCACATCAAGTCAAGATGCTAGAGACATGAACAGACACTTAGGGACTCATTCAGGTCCCTCTGGAATGCTTGAAGAGATGAGGAGATAAGCTTACAGTCTCACAGCTATAGCCCATACAGAGGAAGAGACATGTAAATATGCATACAACTAGCTTCAGATGCACATCCAATTACATACACATGCAGAGTAAGACACACTCTAGGCCACATGTTCCCACTAACAGTAACACAGGACACTTACACTTATGGAAACATATTCCTAGCCATTCCCTAACACACAGGCACATACACACCACCCACATACTCATAAAAACTCACAGCAGAAATACCCTTCCAAGACACAAAGACATGCAGAGAGAGAAAGAGACACAGCCATGAAGACAAACCAAGAGCTTCTATGCTCCGCATTCAAAACACACAGCAAGGCCAGTACTGTTGGGGAAATGGGAAAAAGGGAAGATGGCACTCTCTTCCCCAGAGCCAGCCCTGTCCACCTGCCCAGTGCAGGTGAGTCCTTTCTGCGCCCAGGCTTTCTGGGCTGCTTCCCCCACCCCCAGTTCCAAAGACTCATGGGAGCTTCTGGAAATCTAGACCTGCCCCCAGAACAGGCATAATCTGGAGTCCCTGCATACTTTTCTGACTGGGAGACTGAGACACAGATGATGTTGGGCCTAGGGTGAGACTGCACCCTTCTCTGCTGCCCTGAGAAGGTCTGAAGAGACTTTGGCCAGGGTGCTATGCAGGGAAGTTATGGGCTGGCCTACCTGCGGAGGACACCCCCCAGGAGAGAGGCGTTGAGGCACTCAGGAGGTGAGAGTCGCCGCTGCACCTCCCCCACCGTCACTTTGTACTTGGATGTTGAGCTGAGCAAGGAGAGCCGTCCAGGCACGGAGCAGAAGACCTCACTGGGGTTGGTGATGCCGCCAACCAAGCTGTCTTTGGCCAATGAGAGAGCTGAGAGGCTGCTGGCTTTGGAGGGGATGGGGACTGTAGAGCAAAAGAGCGGGGGAGGGTACTCTGAGCCAGTGACTACAGGGCAGGCAACAGCCAGCTATAGAACAGCTGCATTATTGTCTCACCAACCATGTACATTGAAAAGTTGCAACACCTTCTGGAGGGAGATTCTATTATCCCTGCTCTACAAAGGGAAAAACTGAGGCACAGTGAGATGAAAGTGACATGCTCAAGTCTTCTCAGCTGATGGGCATGGACACTAAACTCAGACACGTCTGGGTCTTGATCTCATGCTCTCACTCTCTCTCTCTCTCTCTCTCTCTCTCACACACTCTCTCTTGTTTTGTGAGGCAGGATCACATTACATAGCCCAGGCTGGCCTCTAACTTGTGATTCTCCTACCTCAGCCTCCTGATTGCTGGGATTACAGGCATGCACTGCCACTCCAAGGCCCAATTCCCTCTTAAAACTCAACTTCAGCGAGTGTTGGCATTCTGGTGGATGCCATCAGAGAGTGAGCTGACTGAAGAAATAGAGTTTGAGCTGGAGGCTGGATTCTGCAGCAGGACCTGGCCCAGCTTGCTCTTCCCATTGTAATCTCCACCCTTCCTAAAATCAGTGAGAGACCTAGGGGGTTTGGACTCTCAAACCCTGAGGACATGGAGGTTATGGCCCTATTAGGCTTCTAGCCCTATCTTTTTTTCCCTGCCAGGTCACGCTAAGAGGCCCCAGGAGACAAGGAACAAGGAGATAAGGAGTAAAGAGGGTGGGTGCCCTATGGCACGCTTCCCCAAATACTCCCTAATTGCATATGAAAGGCAGGGAAGGGAATCAGAGAGGTTAATTTTCTCAATTTCTGACTTTAAAGGAAAGCTCGTAATTGCATAATGGAGCACACCTGTAATCCTAGTACCTTGGGAGGCTGAGGCAGGAGGATTTCAAGTTTGAGGCCAGCCAAAGACAAAGATGTGACAAGGTCCTGCTCAAAAATAAAAACAAGAGTTGGAGGTGTAGCTCAAGTGGTAGAGTGCTTTCCTAACATGCACAAGGCCCTGGCTTCAATCCCTAGTACAGAAAGAAAGGAAACAAAAGAAAAGAAGGAAACTTCCAATAGCCTAACCTCAATCTTCCCACTTAACCAGGGGTAAGGAGAATAATACTAAGGCACTTTCTTCTCTTCTTTAAGGAAGTACGAGCCTTGATATTCAAGGCCTGGTGGGTTATGTTGGAAGTGAGAATCAAGTGAGGAGTCTGAGGCTAACAATTTCTGAGCATTTGCTATATTATATGCTCACACAGATTATCCCCTGAACCCTCAGAACAATACGAGGCAGCTACTCTTCTTATTCCTTTTCTATAGATGAAGAGACTGAATCCCAGAGTGGTGACAGGGTGTCGAGGACCACACAGCTGATAGACTGAAAACCAATAGCAAGCTCAGGACTGTGGTCCTGCTCTTAGCCTTACCACTGTTTGGAAAATATTTGCTGAGCGCCTGTGTGCCAAGAATTGTACTAAGCCTCTGGAATACAGAGGTAAACAAGGCTAACCCAGGGCCTAGCCAGCAGAGCCCTCACCTTTTTCATCTCCAGATGAGCATCTCCTTCCATCAGGGTCTGGTCAGTTTTCTGAGAATCATCAAATTCCCACATCATGGGCAGAATGATGTCACCTATTTGTCACAGGGTGCCAACCATACCCTACATGCTTTATGTGACTAGCTCTGTGGAATACAGCTGAGATTACAGGTGTGTGCCCCATGTCAAAATGAAGAGGCTAAAATGGCACAGCAAGTAAGGAACAGAAGTAGTCCTGAGCTTTGGCCATTGGTTCCAAAGTTTACATCCCTAACCATTATGCTGTAACAGCCTCCTTCACTCTCCTTGATGTCTGGCTCCTGCCTAACTGGTCATGCCTAGCCCCATTTGTCTTTTAGGCTCTAGACCCACCTGATCAATGGAAATAGAAACTTTCTAGAAGCTATATTGTTAAAAAGTAAAAAGAAGGGCTGGCAGAGTGGCTCAAATGGTAGAGCACCTGCCTAGCAAGCGTGAGGCCCTCAGTTCAAACCCCAGTACGATAAAAAAAAAAAGTAAAAATAAACATGAGATTAATTTTAATTAACAATCATCTATAATAATTTAACATATTTTCTAATATATCAGAAATATAGTAATTTCAACATGTAATCAATATTTTTAAAATAATTCATTAAATACTTTGCATTCTTTCCTTGTACTTAGTCTTCAAAATCCAGTGTGGGTTTTACACTTATAACCCATCTCAATTTGGACCAGTCACATTTCAAGTGCTCAACAATGACATGGCTAGCAGCTACCTCAGTGGATGCCATAGGCCTAAACTTCAAAGGAGAGAGCACAACAGGGTAACATAAGTGAGATGTAGAAGTCGGGGAGACTGCAGCCTGCAGGGGCCACTCTGCTAAAAGCCTCCACTGAGCCCAGCATGTTGTACAGAAGACAGACCCAACCTTCTACAGAGTAGGGACCCCCTTCTCCAGGCCGAGGTTAGGACTATTCTTCTCTGGAACCTCATTCAAGCACCAGGACAAAGTTCTTGTCATGGATGCAATGTTTAAGGAGGGACCAAAAAACTCAGTAATCAAGATACTGGGTTGAGTGTAGTGGCGCATGCCTGTAATCCCATCACTGGGGAGACTGAGGCAGTAGGATTTTGAGTTTGAGGCCATTGCTTCTTGGCCTTTTGACTAAGATTAAGTGGAGTTCAAGGCTAACCTGGGCTATATAGGAAACCCTGTCTCAAAAATATTAAACCAAAAAAATGAAATAAGAATGTAAAGGATCCATTATGAACAAAATATCAGAAATAGGCTTTGCTTCTGCTCTTGTAGGACCCTACTTCATTCACCTTGCCCTAATCCTGTCCCTGCCCCACAGTGAGAAGCAAGGTCATCCTGACTCAACAGATACCACCACTGAACATGCAGTAGGAGCCCTCCTCCACAACTTGCCCCTGCTGCCCCACCATGTCTCCCATACCTATGTATGTGTGCACTCATCCCTAGGTCTCTCTTTACCTGTGCCCCGCTGCTTTGAGGGGCTTGGGGGCATAGAACCATTCTATAGCTTGATTGGTTTAGAGGTTTCATGACTATGCATACATGTTAGTCAAAATTCATAGAAATGGGCACCTAACAAGGATGAGCTAAACTGTGTGTATTTTATACCTCAAGCTTGACCTGAAAAAAAATAAAACTACGAATTGACCAATTAAAAATAAAAAGAAGGGCAAAATGACTGTCCTCCCTCTGCATCACTCCCAGCCAGAAAGGGACCAGAGGAACAGGAAATTCTCTCCGCCATCCAATTTTATTAAAGCCTGGGGTCTCTTGAGGCCAGGCCTTGTGAGAGGGGAGAGAGACCAAGGCTGTGTGAGGCTGTTTGTGCATGTGCACACATGGCCATGGGTCACAAAAGTGACAGTACACAAAACGATATGCCCTTGTCATAGATACAGCAGTGGGGGGAAGGCTGCACATGTACAGTACCGATTTAACAAATACTCATCCATGGCTCCATATGCAGACATAGTCTCTGCCCTCCTCAGAGAGTGCAGAAATTTGTCCACATGCATGTGAACAAGTGCTTTCTCCTGTCAATGCCAGATTTATGCAAACATAACTGCAGTCAAGTGCAAGTGCATGACATAGCACAGATACGTGTCTTTGTATCTATGAATAATAGACATTTGCTACTTCTGCCACCTGTCTCTTTTCTCTCAGAGCCTCCTTCCTCAAAAATGGCACAAGGGATGGAGTCCAAGATTAGAGAAGCTGGTGGGCCAGGGAAGGAACTGTGGAGGTAGGTATTTAATGAGCACATACTGCAAAGCAGAGGCACTGTTGCTTGTCTATCATGCCCACAGGACAGCCCCCACCATAGTAGATACTGAAACAAATGGTCTACCCATGGTATCCCCTGGCCACACATACAGAAGCCATTCACATACACACAAGACAGAGAACTCACACATGAGTTCCCAGTTATTCAACTTGTCAGACAAGACACTCCCCACCCAAATCTACACTCTATCCACAGGTGGTAGGTGCCATCTGTCTATTGAATCTGGGGGTGTACAACAGACTCTTCCAGAAAGCTTGTTCAAATACAATTCCTTCTAAAAGAAAATATGGGAGAAAAGTCTTCACGGCCTTGGGTTGGGCAAAGAGTTTCTAGTTATGACATCAAAAGCAATCCATAAAAGAAAATAATTATAATTTTAACTTCATCAAAATTTTTTAAATATTTTTGGTGGAACTGGAGTTTGAACTCAAGACTTCTCTCTTACAAAGCAGGTGTTCTACCACCTGAGCCACACCTCAATTTTGCTCTGGTTATTTTGGAAATGTGGTCTTGCAAACTATTTGCCCAGGCTGGCCTCGAACCTCAATCCTCCCAATCTTAGCTTCCCAAGTAGCTAGGGTTGTAGCTGTGAGCCACCAGCACCTGGCAAAATTCAAAATTTTTGAACCTCAAATTAAAATTAAAAGGTAGATGGGCCTGGTGGTACTGCCTGTAATCGCAGTACTCAGGGAAGCTGAGGCAGGAAGACTGAGAGTTCCAGGCCAGCCTTGTCTACATACAAGACACACAAGAGCTGGTCATGGTGGTACATGTGTATAATCCCAGCACTGGGCTTAGGAGGTGGAGGCAGGAAGCTGGTGAGTTTGAGGCCAGGCTGAGCTACATAAGCAAAATTCTGTCTCCAAATCATCCAAACTAGGGATGTAGCTCAGTGGTAGAGAGCTTGTTTAGCAAGCACAAAACCCTGGGTTTGATCCCCTGGGGCTGTAAAAAAAAAAAAAAAAGGAAGAACATATTTGTGAATCATATATCTGATAAAGAATGTGTATCCAGAACATATAAGAAGCTCTTACAACTCAATAATAACATAAAACCTAATTAGGAAATGGCCAAAATATGTGAAGATGCTATCCTAAAAATGATAGACAAATGGCTAATAAACACTTGAAAAAGTGCTCAACATCGTTT